TTGAGATCTCTCCAGCTCCAGGGTACAGGAGGGTAATATAGGTACAGAATCCTTACGGGGATGGCAGTGATTGATCTTGGCCATGGATCTGGGAAGTGACAGCATTTTTATGCAGGTGGCATAGGAGATACACCATGTGTGCTCCCTCGTCCCCAGGGCTTGGCAGCACAGTAGGCACTAGGGTGTGATGGATGAATAAATGTAATAATAAAACCTGATGGTGACAGGGCTTTGTGGACAGAGGAGAGTTATTGCTGAGAATACCACAGAGAGGATCAGTCGAGCTTCTAAATTCAAACCTGAAGGTGACTACCGTGAACTTATTTATTTTGTTGTCTGAAAAGGTGAGTGCGCAGTAACCCACTCTAGCCTCACTTGAAGACTGTGGAAGGAATCATAGATCATCTACAGAATGCTTTGCAAATACACACACAGTCAGGTGTCTTCCCTCCTTGGCAGAGGGCTCGAGCTGAGTCAGCACAGGTATAGCCTCTACCAACAATGAAGAGGGGCTCAAAGCTGGGTCCAGGACTGAGGCTCATTGTTCACCTGCTGAGTGGGAGGAGGAAGAGGAGAGGGAAGCAAAAGCTCAGAAGAGGAAGGAGAATCAGGAAGGGGGCCCTGTGTACTTGCTCTGACCTCTCTGAGCTTTGTTAAGCTGTGGGGAACGAGACGGCTAAGACTCCACAGTTGCCGCTTTTCTCCCCTGTGCACGGCCTCGGGACTCCTGCATGCCAGGCAAGTGCCCCACAAATAGCTTTCCATTTACTTTTCTGATTTCTGTCTACATGTCTTTCTCCCTTTATTGGGAACCGTTTGGAGGGTAAAACGTAGTTGTAGTGTCTTTTGTAATGGCGGGAGTGGAGTGAAGGCCTTCACTTGGTTATGAGTCTTTCAGCGTTGACTCTGTCTTTCCTGTAACAGTCGTGACCTGCTTCTGCTGGGAAGACTTGTAGACTTGAATCACTGGGCCGTGTTCCCGGCAGTCCCTAGGATGCTACTGTGTCCAGTGAGGGCCAGTTTCACTGGAAGGGTCCAGGACAAATACTGCCCAGCCTGCTGCTTGTCACATTGCGTTCTCTGAGACTTGGAAATAAGTTGGGAAATGTTCGCTTCTTCCCTCGAAGCCCTCCTCCTGCCACCAGCCACTGTGCCCACTGGGCCGTGGTTCTGAAACGGCCTCACCATTGTAGCCCAGTGTGTAGCAATCATATCGTATTGGCTTTTGATAAGATGCTTTGCATGCTCTGGATATCAGGGGGAGGTAGCTAATGTATTTGATTTCTTTCTTTCTTTTTTTTTTTGATTTTCGAGACAGGGTTTCTCCGTAGCTTTTTTGGTTCCTGTCCTGGAATGTATTTGATTTCTATGAGCAGTACTCCTGAAAAGTCTAGAAGTTCCCAGATGTGACCGGGTAGTATAGACACCAGACTAAGAAACAACTTCTGTCACAAGCTGTCATTTGCATGAGTTAGGAAAGATGATTTGAATAAGATGCTTGAGTATATGTACAAATTCAGGGAATATCTCAATTTTTTAGAAAGATGTAAGTTATCAAATGTAAGATATATTTGAAAAACTTTCCTGTGAGTAATTCTGTATTGACAATTTTTGGTGGGTTGATTATTCATGACTCTGACATATTGGCTAATTTAAAAAATATAAGAAAAACTAGTAGGGGAACCTATGTCATTTAATCCCATGAAATATTAATCACATTCATGTGGAAAGATTATGTGTGGGAAGTACTGGGAGCTGGTGTTTGCCTGTTTAAGCCTCTCAGTCTAAGTCTGTCTTGTTGGATATGGCAATTATTACCTACATGAAGCTACTTTCAGTTAAATTTAAGCCAGTTTAAATGAAATAAAGTTAAAATTTCTATGGTTGAAGTGCTTTTCAGCCACAGGCCTGTCAGCCACGTGCATGTCAACACGTGCGTGTCAACCACGTGTGTGTCGGCCACAGGCCTGTCAACACGTGCGTGTCAACCACGTGTGTGTCGGCCACAGGCCTGTCAACACGTGCATGTCAACCACGTGTGTGTCGGCCACAGGCCTGTCCACACGTGCGTCGGCCACAGGCCTGTCAGCCATGTGGTGTGTCATCCACAGTCTGTGGCTGTCGTGTTGAGAGTGGGGTAGGTGTATGTCCTTGTATCATCACAGAAAGTTCAGCTGGAGCAGCCCCAAGTAAATGAAAATTAATACTATTTGACCAAATTTCTGTTTTCTGAGAGTCGGAGAATTGAGTAGTAGAGTATGGGAAACTCTGCCCTGATTTTCCCAGAAGCAGCTGGCCAGGTGGTTAAACTCCCCGGTCAGGGAGAAAGGGAACCCACATTGTGAGTGCTGGTGTTCTTTTTAAAAGTTTTATTTGTATTATTATGTGGATGGGTGTTTGGTACCCTTGGAGGCCAGAAGAGGGCATTGCATCTCCTGAAATGGATGTTTCAGGCAGTTGCAAGCCACCCTGTGGGTGCTGGGAATCAAACCTGTGTTCTCTGGAAGAGCAGCCTGGGCTCTCAGCTACTGAGCCATCTGTCTCTGCAGCACTGAGGGAGTTCTTGCTGAGCTATTGGCATCGGTAGTGGCCAGACCAGGCCCGTGGGTTTTCTACCCAATTAATGTAAGAGATCAGATGGATAATTTGAGCTGAGGTTTAACTTTAAGTCCAAGATATTGTTTTGTTTTTCTTTTGGACTTAAGTCACAGTGATGATTTTTGTTTTTTTTATACTGAATTTCACTATGTAGTCCTAGCTTGCCTGGGAGTTGACATCATGTGGACGAAGCCCTGAACTCACAGAGATCTTCCGCCTCTGCCACTGCCTCCTGCCTGGTGTAATAAATTGATCTTCATTTCCAGTTTTTGATATGTTGTAATTGATTATTAAAACCTTTTTCTTTCTCCTACTCATAAGCAACCATTTTAATGTGCTTGTGTTTTTTTCCAAAATACACCATTGTAGCCTTAAGTTCATTAATTTGACATTTAAGTAGATAGATGATCTATAATCTAAATCAATACAAGAATTTTCCCTTCTTATAATGCTATTTTTTTTCCTTTATGAAGTTTTGCTATTGTTTCAGGCTTTTTGACTTATGTAATCAGAGAAGCCTGAGGGATTGGCTGTTTCTTTTTGCTCAGTGTTTAAGGTGATTTCCTGCTGCTGGGAACTAGTAAACCTAGGCCCTCACATTCATGAAGCAGACACTGATGCTACATTCAGCCCTAGCCCTCGTCATGGGTTATTGAAAGAATAGTCACCCTTGCACTTAAATTTTGCTAATTTTGCTTCCTTCTTCATCATTAGGTGTCCATTATCACCCCTCACATTAGGTGTCCATTGTCACCCTCACGTTAGGTGTCCAGTGTCACCCCCACATTAGGTGTCCAGTGTCACCCCCACATTAGGTGTCCAGTGTCACCCTCACATTAGGTGTCCAGTGTCACCCTCACATTAGGTGTCCATTGTCACCCCCACATTAGGTGTCCAGTGTCACCCTCACATTAGGTGTCCATTGTCACCCCTCACATTAGGTGTCCAGTGTCACCCTCACATTAGGTGTCCTGTGTCACCCCCACATTAGGTGTCCTGTGTCACCCTCACATTAGGTGTCCTGTGTCACCCCCACTTTAGGTGTCCAGTGTCACCCTCACATTAGGTGTCCATTGTCACCCTCACATTAGGTGTCCATTGTCACCCTCACATTAGGTGTCCTGTGTCACCCCCACATTAGGTGTCCAGTGTCACCCCTCACATTAGGTGTTCATTGTCACCCTCACATTAGGTGTCCAGTGTCACCCCCACTTTAGGTGTCCAGTGTCACCCTCACATTAAGTGTCCATTGTCACCCTCACATTAGGTGTCCATTGTCACCCTCACATTAGGTGTCCTGTGTCACCCTCACATTAGGTGTCCAGTGTCACCCCCACTTTAGGTGTCCAGTGTCACCCTCACATTAGGTGTCCATTGTCACCCTCACATTAGGTGTCCATTGTCACCCTCACATTAGGTGTCCATTGTCACCCTCACATTAGGTGTCCTGTGTCACCCTCACATTAGGTGTCCTGTGTCACCCCCACTTTAGGTGTCCAGTGTCACCCTCACATTAGGTGTCCATTGTCACGCTCACATTAGGTGTCCATTGTCACCCTCACATTAGGTGTCCTGTGTCACCCCCACATTAGGTGTCCTGTGTCACCCTCACATTAGGTGTCCAGTGTCACCCCCACTTTAGGTGTCCAGTGTCACCCTCACATTAGGTGTCCAGTGTCACCCCCACATTAGGTGTCCTGTGTCACCCTCACATTAGGTGTCCAGTGTCACCCCCACTTTAGGTGTCCAGTGTCACCCTCACATTAGGTGTCCAGTGTCACGCCCACATTAGGTGTCCTGTGTCACCCCCACATTAGGTGTCCATTGTCACCCCTCACATTAGGTGTCCAGTGTCACCCCTCATTAGGCGTCCAGTGTCACCCCTCATTAGGCGTCCAGTGTCTGTCTGTCTGTCTCTCTCTTTTTCTTTCTTTCTTACTTTGAGACATTATTGTGTTAACCAGATTCATATACAGTTTAAGAAATGCCACACAGAGGCTGAGGTGAGGGCTCACTGGTGTTGTTTGCCTGTTTGCACGAGTCTGGGTTCAGTCCCTTGTACCACAAAGGGAAAATGTGGAGAGATCAATGTACATGTGCCCAAGTCCATTATTCTTCATGCTTGAATTTTTCTGGGGTCTGAGTGGCCACAGATGGCCCGCTGGAATCTTAGCAGTCCACGACTGATGCATGGTGTTCTCCTGGGAATGCGATGCAATGTTCTCTGCTCTTCTCCTGAGCTTTTCATATCGCAGAGTGAAATTACCATATTGACTGAGTTTTTAGTAAGTGATATGGCATTCATTTTCTTCTCAGATGGGGTTTTATGCAAATACTGTTGAAAGTAATTACAGAGCTGTGAAATCTTTGATAATGAGCTATTTCTGTCTGTTTGGTTTCAGGTTGTTTCACGAAGAAATCCAGAAGACGTCCAGGAGGTAGCATGCTTTTCCTTGTGAACATTCCTCTTATCCTTGTTGAAGAAACTGCCAGAGTTACCTGTATGAGTGTTTGGATTTGTACGATGGTTTCTCTGGCTACATGACAGTAGCTGTAGTTACACTTCATCCTGCTGAGTAGGCAGGTGGGAGTGAGAATTGGAGGTGCTAGCGAGGTTTTTCTCCAGCCCTCAGCTGACTCCAGCCCTAGTCAAGGACTTTGCCGACCGTTTCAGTCATGATGCCTGTTCATTAAAGCGCAAGTGTTGGTGACTAGTGTCAATTTTAAAGCTTTAGTAATAGGTTAGGGGCTCCGCACACTTCCGTGTTGGCTTGGCATGCTGACGCCATGACTGCCGCAGGTATCCCTGTCTATTTTTGACCATTTCGCCTAGTTTTTCATATAGGTTTCTCTTGAGTTCTGTCATCTCCCCAGGATGATGCTGGCCTGGCATGTTTTGTTTAGAGGGGTGGGGTTCTCACTAGCATTTCTCTGTGCTTGGGGCTTGGTTTAGGAACGCTGATCAAGTGGCTGCCTCCCTCAGTGCATGTTAATCTTCTTTATTCTGCTCAGTTTTGAACTAGAGGCACTGTGTAGCAGGACTCCTACCCCAGCCACGTGTTTAAACAGATGCTGTAAACTTAGCAGTTTTTATTCTACGGCGGTGTTGGATTCGGGTGTCTCTAGATGGAGTGTGGACTTCTGCCTAGCTGCAGGCACTGCTGCTGCTCAGAGGCACCTGGCTTGATTCGTACATTTGAGTCGATTGTTTCACATTGGTTGGCCCAAGTTCATCAGACTCATGATTTATCTGAGTTGGTAGTTTTTGTCTCATGACTCAAAATCACAGTAAAAGGCACCTTAAAAGGATTTCACAGTGTTTCCCTCATGAGCGTAGAGACATCGTCATTGTCTCCCTAGCAGGGAGACAACTAGAATACTATTATTTCAGATGAGAAGGACCTATGCATATCTCACGACTATTCTTTTTGCATGCCATTTGCTAGCACGGAGCATTCTTTAGAACTCGCCCTCTGAATAATTACTGCCACTGCTTGTAGGTTTGGCTTTAGAGAGTTTACAGCTCTGTCAACCTTGGGAATGGGTTGTCACCTGTGACCATGACATCTGATTGCTGTGCTGTGGTTGTACCTTGATGTCCCCCTTTCCAGGGAGAATCCTGAACCAACTTGTCCATGAACACACTCTCTGCCATTTCCTTAGTCCTTTTTGGGGGAAACTCCTAATACCAGCTGCTGGTGACCAACCATCAGCAGGCTCTTGTAAGTGTCCTTCAGTTAGATAGCTGCATGCTCTTACGTTAGAAATGATACAACAAACTTAGTCTTCTTTGTAGCTGACTTCTTCAGCCATAGAATAACCCAGAATTCTAACCGTGCCTCTAGGTTCTCATTTGTTGTGTTTAAATGTTGGTTCTCACTTAGAAGAGTTTATTGTTCAGGCTTCAGGTCCTTTCTGTCCATGTTCTTAAACCTGCGAACTCATGGATTTAGTTTAGAATATGCTCAGGCCTCCCTAAAGCTCTTGGCAACTAATAAACACCTGCTTAGTTTAAGCAAGCTGCCTGTAATGGAGAAATGTTTCTGTCCTTTTGTAGAGCTCGTTTGACCCTCCAGAGCTGCCCTTTTCCTAAGAATGCTAAGAGAATGTGCACAGGGAGTGAGCCACTTGGTGTCATGGAGGCAGCTTTCCTTTTCAAATGCCCTCTACACGTCTAAGGAGAAGTTGAGCGGTTGGGGCAATGATTCAGTTCATGAGGCGCTTTCTGTGCAAGCAGGAGCACCTGAGTTTGATCTTAAGAGCTCACATCTTTTCCTGGGTACAGTGATGTGTGCTTGTAGTCTCAGTGCTGGGAGCAGAGATGGGCAGATCCTGGGGTGGACAGCGACTGAGTACAGATGACGCCTAATGTCGACTCTGGCTTCCACTTGTGCTGTACAGACACGTGAATAAAAACACAAAAACTCAAAAAAAGAGGGAAAGAAGATGCATAGGCAAATGGTGTGACAGTCATATTTGTTGTAAGCAAAGCTGACCCAGCAAGTTTTAGTACTGAGTGAGAGTGGAAATGAGAAAGTTATTAGGTGATATCATAAACACAGGAAACAAGTGTTTTGGTGTCAGTGTGTTTAAGGATCTGAAAAGGAAATGATTGTCATATGTTGAAATGCTAAAGGGAATGCTTTAATGAAAAATTGAGCTTTTAACAAATTTTAAATCTATATATGGTCATCGAATGCTTGACTCATGAAGTTTCTTCAGAGTGACATGCACACATATGGAACCCACGCTTGCTTCCATTGTTTTGTGACCCGCCAGGCCTTAGCAGAGAAATCAGTTCCTGTCCTAGCACACGCCAGTCCCTCTGCTCTGTTGGAAGTGAGTTTGTTCCCATTTCCACTTGAGGGTTTCTGGGAACTTCAGATTTCATGAAAGGAGTAAGGAGAGGAGAAGGTGGCTGGGGCATTCCACTGTCAGTGCTTTGGCTCTGGAGCCTGGTGTAGAACACACCATGTGGTGATGAACGAAGCTCTGGCAAGAGCTTGACTCCGACAGATTTATATGGCTTTATATAATCTGGTGTTTTAATTGTGAAAGTTTTCCCCAAGTTGCCACCCTTTATTTGAAAATGATCTTGACTAGATGTTTTATCTGCAAATGTGATTGCTTCATAATCTCTCGTTTTCTGAAACTCTCACGCTCATCTTGTAATGGTTCTTACGGGCCTCGGCCCTGCAGAAGACGCTGCATGCAGAGGCTTATTACCCACTCCTCCCTGAGCTCTTGGCAGTGTGGCACCAGCATACTTTGAGTTACCTGTGTACTTATGGATCCATATTTAATTATGATTTTGGTTTCTGAGATGGGACCTTGCAGATTGGCCTGAAACTCACTGTGTAGCCCAAGCTGGCCTGTTTAGCCTTCTGAGTGCTGGGATCTTAGGTGCAAACCATCATGTCCAGCTCAGTTTGACACATTTTGAGATGTAAAAATAACACTTTTTCTCAGGAAGCTACTGAGAGCACAAGCTGTGACAGTTGCGGGCGTGTGCTGTTTTGTCTGGTCCTGTCCCGAGTCCCTGACTTTGCAAGGATTGGTTGGAGGAGGTCGATGTTCTTGCCCTTACTTGTGCTAGAACTGTTGGTTCTGGGTGGCCAACGTTTCTCCTGTTCGCTGGCACTGCGGACTACCTCAGCATAGCCAGGCTTCTGTTTCACTCATCCTTGCTCCTACCTGGTCCTTTGGTGTCTGCTGTCCCTTTTTGGACTCTTTGTCCCATCATAGACACTGAGAAGCGGCTGCTGACTGGCTGCTCATTGCCTGCTGATGGCTCTGGAGCAGTGTATTTTACTCTTAGACCTCAAACCTGTGTGTCCTGTTGAACAGCTCACAAGCATGCGAGCCAGATGTGCACAGCTGGCCTCTGACAGGCTTCTAGTACCAGCTCTTTCTTGCTCCCCTTTCAGGAGACTACCACCTCTACTCAGTCACTGACTCCAAGATTCTAGGGCTCTCTATCTTTGGCATTGCCTTCTCATTAGAAACTTGGTTCACAGTCTCCCCTAACCTCTCCATGCTTTTTGGCTCTGGTGACCTCTCCTCCAGATGCCACTCACTCTAGCCTTGCTCAGCATCCAGGCTGGGCAGGGAGCCCTTCTATACCACTTTCGTGCAGCTTCTCAGCATCCGACAAGCCCTTTGTGAAGTCATCCAGACTGGCTTGTTTTTGGCTTGACTGTGAACCCTGGAGGTGGGACCTGGCTTCCCATCTCATACTCTAGGACAATATGGTGCTTAGCACAGGGTAGGGATGCTGGTTTCGGGGACCGCTTTTGTGGGGTAAATGAGTAAAAGTGAAGCATGGGGCCGAAGCCACTTGTCTGATTCATGTTGTGGTCTATAGAGCCACCAAAGCAATTAGAATTATGAACACCAAGAAGCACCCTCTTCAAGGCTAACTTCAAATAATAGGACAAAATTTGGCAAGACTTGAAAATCTGGTCTAATGGCTTTTGTGGCCTAGAGTTTGGCCATTGTCGTCTCTACTCTGCATGTACATGAGAACACATAGACTTCAACTCTATGGAAGGGAAGGAATTTACAACTTAGGTTTTCTTTACTTTGTGGGGCTCAGAGCTGACAGTGACAATCAAGGCCGTGCATCCAATATTTCCTTCTTATAAAGTGTGTTTTTCTAATTTAATATAAGTAGAGCCAAATACTTTACGCTAATGACAGCAAATTGCTTCTCCATGCTGTCTAATCTAGAGGACTGTTACTTTATTTTGTGATATGTGAGTTTTAATTATATTATGGTTAATGTTGATTTTGTTTATGATTCATGAAGAATTACAGAATGTGAGAATGCATCTTCCCTCGCAGGCCTTTCCCCTTCACAGTTAGTCTTTTTTTTTTTTTGGTGGGGTGAGGGAAGGGAACAAGTGTTACATCCTTTTTGTTTAAAATTTTACTAAGTTGGGGGCTGCAAATGACTTGGAGGTTAAAAGGATTTCCTGCTCCTGTTGAGGACCTGGTTAGTTCCAGCACCTACACGTCTCACAGGCACCTGTAACTCCAGTTCCAAGGACTCCAGTCCACTTCTGGCCTCTGAGGTCTCCTGCATGCATGCAGCACACTTTAACTCATGCAGGCTCATATGCCTGCACATAAAATAAATGAGCAAATCTGAGCAAAGGATTAAAACATAAACCACCTAAGTCGTTTCCTGCCTTGTAAACATGGCATTTGAGATAGTGTTGTCTATCTACTTCATTCCCAGGCCAATAGTAACTAGTTTTTGGAGAGAATATATTTTATGTAGCATGGACCATTTTTGTATCAGGTTGAATACTTTTCTAGAACGAATTAAAGGGTTTTTAGGAAACAGGACTTAGGAACCTGAAGTTAACGATATTGGGAAGAAGCACGGCTTTAGGTTTAAGCAGATGCTAGTTCACCTCAGACCTTAACCCTGTGGGCTGCCTTGTGCATGTTTGCTATGCATGGTGATTTAGAATATTTAAAGGAAATATTATTTGTGGCCCAGAGACAGAATGCTTATGCTTTAAAATATGCATTTAATTTGTTTTCTTTTCAGATAATTGTATGGAAGAGATACAGTGACTTTAAGAAACTGCACAAAGAATTATGGCAAATTCACAGAAACTTATTCCGACACTCAGAGCTGTTTCCTCCATTTGCTAAAGGGATAGTGTTTGGTAAGTGCTCTTCTAGTGCTCTTCTCCTTTGTGACCGCTGCCCCGTCCTCCACCCTCACTCCACCCGTCAGACTGGGAGTTTGTCTTCTCCTTTGTGACCCCTGCCCTGTCCACTCATGTCCTCCACCCTCACCCCCACCTATCGGACTGGGAGTTGGATCTAGAGCCTCATACTTGCTCGACAAGTTTTCTGCCGCTGATGTACAGCTCAGCTAAAGCTGTGGTTAATGCGATGATTAGCTAATGGTGGTCTGTGCCCAGCCCTCTCGCCCGCGGTGATGATTCATCCGGTTCAGCAAGCCCTTGACGCTCTTCTCGCATGCCCTAGTATAGTCCATGTAACATACAGTTCCTCTTCCCAGACACGGGGTAGCTGCATCTCTGGCCAGGCAGAGACACTGGGAAGCTAAGAAAAGATGTATCATTCACACGTGTGGCCCTGGATGGTGTCTTAGTTAGGGTTCTCATTGCTGTGATGAAACACCTCGACCAAAGAGCAAGCTGGGGAGGAAGGGGTTTGTGATGCTTACACTTCAGCCTTGCTGTTCACCACTGAAGGAGTCAGGACAGGAACTCAAACAGGGCAGGAACCTGGAGGCGGGAAATGATGCAGAGGCCGTGGAGGAGAGCTACTTATTGGCTTTTTTCCGATGACTTACTTGCTCAGCCTACCTTCTTATGGAACCCAGGGATGGCACCTCCCACCAAGGTCTGGGCCCTCCCACATTGATCACTAAATGAGAAAATGCCTTACAGCTGGATCTCAAGGAGGCATTTCCTCGGCTGCGGCTCCTTCTGATGATTCTAGCATGTGTCAAGTTGACACACAAAACCAGCCAATACCATGACCTGACTCCTGCCCTCCGAGTGCCTTTGCCGTGTCCCAGCCCCAGAGTAAAGTCTCTGTGGTTGTAGAGTGTCTTGACTTGCAGTTATTTTACCATGCCAGCCCTGCTTGCAGCTGTAAGTGCATCGTTTTCACCTCTTTCTCCACCCTTCCCCACATAAACACGGCTAACTGCAGTCAAAGAGATCACGCCACAGCCTGGCTGCCGGGTTGCCTTGAGAGCTCTACCAAATACATTATTAGTTTTTGATTTTGCTTCATTTGGTTTTCAGGACATAGGCAGAAGCAGCCTGGGTCTTTACCAGAGTAGAAGTTTCCAGGTGAATTCCTGATAGAATTCTTTCTCTTTCCTCTGTGTACCTCCTGACCTGGCCTTCCGTGCTTGCATTTTTCTGAGCGTCTGGTCTTCTGAGCCCGGCTGTAGCAATCACTAGGGTTTTAGGCTCCTCTGGCTCACAACTCCATATCCCCCGGTTTTCTTGGCCTGTAAGTCACACAGAATACAGCTCCACTCCCAGTTTTAATTTTCTGAGTTACTTTCCTTTTTTCTATGATAAACACATGATGAAACAGGTTATGGGGAAGAATTTGTTTTAGCTCATAGTTCAGGGGACACAGTTCATCACGGTGTCTGCAGTGGGTCTGTGTTAGCAGGAGCTTACAGTGGTGATATCTCACACAGTACTGATGAGGAAGTATAGAGGGAGGACTGTAAGGAACCTCAGCCATGACCCTCAAGGCTTGTCTCCAGTGACCCATGTCTGCCTACTAGGTTTAAAGGTCTTAAAGGTTCCACAGCCACCCATGGAAGTACTCCCAGCTGGAGAGCAGTATCACATATATAGCCCATGGGGACAGCTTACATGCGATTAACAGTGTGCTTATGTCAGCCTGGCTGATACTGTGTCACGGTTGGTCATTGTGACCTGTAGCAGAGGTGCTCTTTGTTTCGGAGATTTGGCGATAGAGGTCTGTGGCTTCTCCCTTGATGCTGTTTCACTTCCCTCTCTCCTGCTTCTCCTCTCCTCCTCCTCCTTTTTCTCTCTTCCTCCCTCCCCTCTTTCCCCCTTCCTATTTTTTCTGTTTCTCCCTACTTTCCTCTTTCTATCTTCCTCTCTCTCTGTTTTTTTCTGCTCCCCTCCTTTTTCCTAACTTTCTCTTTCTCCTCCCTTCATCCCCCATCCCCATTCTCTTCCCTTGCTCTGAGAGATACCAACTTTCTGATAAAGATACTGGGAACCTCTCATGAGGCCTACATATGAGCAATGGGACCTCCAGCCATCAGGCACATATGAAATGGACCCAGACTGTGGGTGAACGTGGAACAGATTCTCCACTGAGGTGGGACCCTGCGCTAGAACCACCCGGCTGCACCTGCCTACAGGTCCTGGCCCTCAGAGTCCCCTGAGGTGGGAACTGCCTGCCACTGTAGTTTGTCATGTAGTAAGAACTACTTAGTGGATTTTGTTGCCTGGAGTGGGGTTGCTGCCAACCAAAGACACAAATGTGTCCCTGAAGAGGTGATCAATGGACGTGCCATGGTTGAACCTTTCCAGTGCTCTTCCTGTCCTGGGGAACATTCGGAATGGCTGTTGCTTATGGCCCCTGCTCTGTGCAGAATTTCACAGATGAATTTCTTCAGGCTGTTGTAGGACCGCCCATCACCATCTCCACACTTCCTTGAGACATTTGTACGCTTTCCAGCTGGAGATTGGGAGCAGATGCAGAGTTCCAGTCCCTGTTCCAGGGACTCAACATTTATTCATCAATTGATGATGCTGTACTGTGGGGCCTTTGGAGATGGGGCCTGGACGGAGGATGTGGGTCTGTGTAGAGTAGGCCTTGAGGTTTAGAGCCCTGCCCTGCTTCCTGCCCTTTCTCTGCTTCCAGATCCTTCCTGGATGATGAGACTCTCACCACCACACCGTCTCTGCAATGATGGATTGTGTCTCTCCAAACCATGAGCCAGATAAACCCGCCCTTGGATTGCTTCCTGTAGGTGTTTCATGACAGCAGTGAGAGAAGTAACAGATGAGGCCGCACCTGGAGAGGAAGCCCTGCTCTGAGCCAGGCCTCTCTGGAGCGCGGGGTTTAGTCCTTAGGGTGTTCGCTGTTACCTTTTAGCTGTTTGCTGGCCTTGGGGCCCAGCTCCAACATTCCTAGTTCGTTTGTTTCTTTGACTCCTTTCTGTTTACAATGTGGGCTGCTCTTTGCTGCTGCTGCTGCTGCTGCTGCTGCTACTTTGTGGTCTCTCTTGTGCTGTCACTGTGTCCATAAGCATGGGCAGGTGCCCCAGATCCGTTAGTCAGTGTCTTCTTGGATGAATTTTATTCCAATGGTAGCTCCTCTGAAAATGGTGTGGCACCTTTAATTCGAGAAACATTAAAAAACAAAACAAAACAGGCATTGGGAATGGGTATCCAAACAAGCTCTGTCTTTGAAGAAGCTCAGTGTCCTGCTGTGGAGGAAGTGAGTGGCAGCCTCTCTTCATGTTGCTTTGTCCTGCATGGGAAACGCAAGACAATACACCTCTGGCCCACTCCTGAGTGTAGCTGAAGGTGCAAATAAGTTTATGAAGCTACCAGGCTGCATATGGTGGTGCACATCTATAACCCAGTACCCAGGATGCCGAGGCAGGAGGATCATGGGTGTAAAGTCACCCTGAGCTACAAGTCAAGGCTTGTCTCAGAAACAAAGAAAAAACAAAGCAAGAGTGAAGTCAGCAGAGGGAGGACCCTTAACTGTCCTCCTCTACAGCCACCCCAGAACTTATTCTAGAACCAGAGCCGCCCCCCACCCTCTGCTCTTTGTAAACGGTGATGTCCCCGAGAATGGGATTGGGGTTTGCCGGTGGAGGAACTGGATAGCCATAGGAGGGGTAAACTGCTGTGCTTGCCAGAGTGGAAGCATGCTTTTTCCTAGCCATCTCTTCAGTGAATTTTCATGTTAACTCATTTCCCCGTCTGCATGGGAAGTGCACACAAAGGGGCTCCAGAAATTCTCTTTGTCTTCTTAAAGATTATTGAAGGCCAGAAATGACTGTTGTTGATGTTGATTATAGCTATTACTATTTACCACAGTAGCAATAAAAAAAGAAAGAGAAGAAAAGGGAATAAAAGGAAAAAGAAGACAGCTGGATTTGAGCCAGACTGAAGTTCTGTGACTAGACGTGCTGTCTGTGCTCAAGGTCCTTGAGGAAACCCAGTCACAGATGCGCTTTTGAAGGGGAGTGCTATTGAAGAGAGTGGACACGCTCTTTGGTAGACCAGAACTCTGCTAGTGATTAACCCTTGCAGGCTAACTGCACCATAGAATTTGAAGTTTAGAGTGCTCAGTTACAGTTCTCGGTTGTCTTTGACTTTGCAATGCCCTTTGCCATTTAAAAGCACTTTGCTAGGCCTGGGGAGATGGTGCAGCAGTCAAGAATACAGGCTGCTCTTTCATAGAATCCTGGTTTGGTTCCCAGCACCCACAAGGCAGCTCACTGCTATCTAGTTCTGCTCCCCTTCCTGACCTCCGAGGCCACTGGGCACTCATGAGGTGCTCAGACTTACATGCAAACACTTGCAAGGAAAAACAAATCTTAAGAAAAGTGATATTGTCATGCCCATGTTTTGCAGATCTTAAAGATAGTTCCTGGTTTAGTTAGATGATGGCAGCAAATGTTTATATGGCCAGAGATCTCTAAAAAGGAGATTTTTAAGTCCTGGGAAGCTGGCAAGCACAAGCTGTCTCTTGGCTAAAATTTTCTCACCAACGGCAATGCCGTTGGTGGTCTTCCTGGAGGTGTTGGACTCTCTCTGTCTCTTCTCACAGTTTGTTTCACAGAATTTTCATAAGAGTTCCCTAAGGTCAGGATTCAATAAGTTTAATAATTGTTACTGTTTCGTTGATGTTATTTCCTCAGTGAAACTGCCATGACAGTTTTTATGAGAAATTGGCAGAAAGCAGAGAAATAATTATTAGTTTGTGTGGTGCTGTTGTGGTGTCCTGCTGAGGGGGCCGTGGTTTTGCTACCATTGTGTGTAGACCATTAGTGCAGCTGTCAGCACAGAAAGATGCCGCTAATGCTGTGGTGTCATCATAGAAGTGATTAACCATGTTGACTGGCCCTCAGGATGCCTTGGACCACACTTGGAGAATGAGTGTGTAT